GAGTTGATCCAAGAGCAACCAACTCGCAACAACCAACGAAATGGTCGACCACGAGGTAGAGGGTATGACGATGACGAGGAGGAAGAAGGAAGTGACCGTAGCATGCTCTCACAGGAGTTGCTACCACGTTAATGCTGTCACGAGAGTGGAATGAGTCCTAGATTCTTCAGAAGCAGGAAGAAATTGGAGAGTCCATTGTTCAAAGGAGAGGATGCATATGGTTGGTTGGTGCGTATCAAACGGTATTTTTGTCTGAATAGAGTGCGGGTACAGGTTAAAATGGATGTTGTGGTGTTGGCGATGGAGGATAAGGCGTTGAACTGGTACTAGTGGTGGAAAAAGCAATTACCATTTAAAACTTGGGATGAATTTAAGTTGGCAATCATGAGATGTTTCCAACTGGTGTTGCTTCACAATCTGTTGGGACCATTATTAAGTTTAACAAAAAAGGAACTGCGATGGAGTATAGAGAGAAGTTTGAGATGATGGTAACTCCTTTAAGAAGAGAGGCAATAGTTAGGTTGGACACTATCTTCTTAAATGGAATGAAGGGGGAAATTCAAGCAGAACTGAAGCTATATGAAAGCCATGACCTAACTGAATTGATGGATCATGCGTTGCTCATTGAAGTAAAAAAGGAGGTTCTAACAAAAAAGGAAATTCATGGAGGGATAGAGGTGAGATTGTCGGAATCAAGGATCCTGGAGATTTTAGTGGAGCCAAGAAGGATGGTGATAAGGAAAGTGCAGGGTTGAATGAGATGTTTAAGGGTAAGAGGTTGAACCGTGCAAAATTGGAGGAAAGGAGCAAGAAAGGGTTATGTTTCAATTATGGAGACAAATGGAACAAGGAACACATTTGCTAGTTCAAACACATGAGTTTGAAGTTGTGTGAGGATAATAGTGTAAAGAAGACAGGGAGGATTTGGTGGCTGAACTGAGGAGTGAAGTGGGGGAGGTGGAGAAATTGAAGACCTTGAAACTTTCATTACAAAGTCAGGCTGGCTTCACTTTTAACAAATCTTTTAAGGTGTGGGTGCAGATAGGAGGAAGATGAGTTGTGAGCTTAATTGATTTAGGAGCCACTAGTAACTTCATAGTTGCAAAACTGGTGGAGGAGTTGGGATTGAAAGTAATAGACACTCCTATTTATGTGATTGAGGTAGGCAACAAAGAGAGTGATGAGAAATCAGGATGTGAAGGGTTGGAGTTCCAAATTCAGGAAGTAAAGTTCCGACAATATTTCTTCATTATGGATTTAGGAGGATCTGAAATTGGCTTAGGCATGGATTGGCTAGCTAGCCCTGGTAATATTAAAGCAAAATTTGGCAATCTTTGTTTGAAGTGGGGGATGGAGGGCAAGAATTACCTTATTCAGGGTGACCCTACTTTGTGCAATAGGAAAGCTTCACGGAAAGCAATGATGAAAGCTTTGAAAAAGTTTTGTTAGTTTTCTTTGATGACCATATCTATAGCAAAAACAAGGATGATCATAAAGAGCATGTGAGGAAGATATCCTTAATATTAAAGGACCAAAAGTTGTATGCTGCGGACCCCAGAAAAATAGAGGACATGTTGAAATAGCCTCAGCCCAAAAACTTGAAGAGTTTGAGAGTTTTTTGGATCTGACTAGGTACAATAGGAAGTTTCTAAGGAATTATGGGAAGATAGCATGACCATTAACTCAGCTATTGAAGGACATTTTTGTGTGGAATGAGGAAGGCCAGAAAACTTTTGATCATTTGAAGAAAGCTATAACCACTATCTCAGTTTTAGCAATGCCAAAATTTGGAAAGGAATTTGTGGTGGAAACTAATACTTCAGGCAAGGGAATAGGGGCAGTTCCCATGCAAGAAGGGAGACCCCTAGGTTATATGAGTTACACTCTATCTGACAGAGCTCAAAATAAATATGTATATGAGAGAGTTGATGGCCATTGTAGTTTCAATTAAAAAATGGAGACCCTACTTGTTAGAGAGGCATTTCAAGGTGCACACTAATCAAAAGAGAAAACTATGGGTGAAGACCAACAAAAGTGGATTTCTAAGTTGACAGGGTTTGACTTTGAGATCAAGTATAAACCTGACAGATAGACCAATGTAGCAATTGCACTATCTAAACGGATGCAATGTGCTACAATTACAACTGTGCAGTGTGTAGCATGGTAGGGTCTAGAAGAAGAAATTCAGGGTGATGACAAGTTGAAGGAGATAGCGAGGGATCTACTTAGTGACCCTCTCAGCGACCCAAGATTTCAATTAAAAGGGGGTAGGTTATACCATGAAGGCAGAACTGTGATTCCAAATGGGTCGCCAAGGGTGGCTTGAGTTCTACATATGTTCCATGACACTTCAGTAAGGGGTCATTCGGGGTATCTAAAGACTTACAAAAAGATTGCTAGAGTCATCTACTGGGAGGGATTGAGGAGAATAATCCAAGAGTATGTACAAGTCTATGAAATATCTCAGAGAAATAAATACCAAACTTTAAGCCTAGGGGGGCTGTTATAACCTTTGCCAATTCCCACTCAAATATGGAGTGATATCTCCATAGACTTTATTAGAGGGTTACCTAAGGTGAAAAGCTTTGACACTGTTATGGTAGTTGTGGATATGTTGACTAAGTATGCTCACTTCATACCTGTGAGTCACCCTTACACTGCTAGAGACATAGCTGAATTGTTCATCAACGAAATAGTAAGGTTACATGGTTTTCCTAGTTCAATAGTGTCAGACAAGGATAAAATGTTTCTAAGTATCCTTTTGCTAGAGATTTTCAAGCAAGCAAGCACTAAGCTGAAATATAGTAGTGCCTATCACCCCCAAATTGGAGGATAGATTGAAGTAGTAAATAAATGCTTGGAAACCTACTCAAGGTGCGTGACTGGAAGAAACTTAAATAATGGCCGTAGTGGTTGGCATGGACTGAGTACTGGTATAACACTAACTATCATGCTTCACTGTAAACAACCTTACCTTTTGAAGCATTTTGTGTGAGGGGTCCATCAATATTGGTGTGGGGTGATGTAAATATTTCAGTTGTAGAAGAGGTTAGTAAGTTGACAGTAGAGAAGAATGAGATGAGGGAACAACTGTTGAAAGCACGGGATAACATGAGAAATCAAGCCAACAAACATAAAAGAGAGGTGAAGTACAACATAGGTGACATGTTGAAGATAACACCAAAATTGAAGAAGCAGGTTAAGAGAGTGAATCAGAAGCTGATCCCCCACAATATTACGGGGCTTATGAAGTGATTAAGAAGATAGGCCAAGTAGCTTATTAGTTAAAACTGCCAGTGATACCAAAGTTCATCCAGTTTTTCATGTGTCTTTAATAAAGAAAGCCGTAGCTCCTAATGTCAAACCACAACCAATGCCAACCTGCATGAATGAGGATTGGTACTTGGAACAAAGACCTGAGGATGCCCTAGATACTAAAAGGAATGCACAAGGGGTGGTGGAAATGCTGGTCACATGAAAGAGGTTAATGGAGTTTGAGAACTCTTAGGAGCCAATTGATAAGATGAGGATTGAGTTTCCATGATTCCTCCTTAAGGTCAAGGAGCGTTTTAAAGGGGGAGGAACTAATAGTTTTGGGAGGGTGTATAGGAGAAAATGTGGGCGCCAGGTTGTAGGGGATAATTCCCTAATAACTAACTTGGGGGAAAGCAGATGACTAGTGCTTGGTGGCAGAGGAGGGAGAAAGAAGGTCGGAGTATTATGTGCAGAGAGAATATTCAGTTGGGAGGAGTATGCATGAATTGTGTGATCATCGCCTTGGGAGAGATTGAGCCTCTCGAAAAGCTTAGATTTATTTTCAGCATTTTACTTTCCTATTTTACTAATGTATTCCCAGCTAGATCCCATTTGAACTCTAGTTAGATCCCATTTGAACTCTAGCTTGTATCGCTGCTGCAATTCTTTCCAATAATCAAACACCCTAGCAACTTGTAAGGTGGGAGATGTCATGATTGGACATCTGGAGCGTGACCCAAGTGGCGTGATAGTGATAACTTTAATGCTTGTAGCCCAAATGACCCAAGTGGCGTGATAGTGATAACTTTAATGCTTGTAGCCCAAACCCAGGCTCTGATACAATCTTAGAATTTGATTTGATACCATCTTATAAGCTTGTCTTCAAACTTATCTCATCCAATGTGAGACTCTCAACACAAATAATGTCAATGAGATCATGACATCTCTGATTATTGTAGGATTAAACCATGCTCTACATTATATTTGTTTGTACAAATGACTTTTATAGAACAAATGAACAATCCCTAGAACAAGTCAATTTAAGGGGAATATATTAGATCAACTTTCTCATGATCTAGGTTACAACTTACAAGAATGTGAAAACGTGAAACAACATGGAAGAGGCTGAGGAATGAGAATTATGCTTCATGGCATTTTATGAGAGGCCTAATATGTTAAAATTAACCCCATAGCTCTTAATATGATTTTCTTTATTGAAAAAAGGAAACTACTGGCATTTTATCTATTCATCTCTCGATGGCTTAGTTTGTATGTGTATATATCCCACACATAGTTAAGGTGTCATTTAAATTTTTCATTATGTAAATTTTCACTTTATGGGTGCCTTTGTATTTTTATTAATGGATGTTTCACAATATTCCTTGTTTCATAAAATTATTGTCAATTTATCATTTACTTGCCATGAAAAAGTAAATTTTCATTGTGAATGACAACTGACCCAAATTGGTGTTGTCTCAGGCTCTCAGCTGTAGTCTGTAGATGGCTGGTTGATATTCAAAATAGAAATATATTTGCCAGAGTATAATAATTTCTGTGAATATTCCATGTAACAAACAATTGATTATATAAACTTTTCTTATCTCTATCCAAATTTAGGTTAATTTCCTCTTTGATGTATTTTTGAAGCCCTTTCATTGACCAAATATTATTTGTCTCTGTTTGTTTCTCTTTAACTATGTTTTGTGTTTAATGCAGTTATTATTTGTTGTATTTCAAAATCTGCCATGTCAAATGTCCCTAGAAGAGTTGGGCCAGATTTCTTTGGCTATTATTCATCTGAAGTAGTAAATCTATTGTCCCGAGATGAGAATGTTTTGCCTGTCACAACCCAATTATCTGAGCTACCACAGAACAACTGTGGCGAGGGAGTAAAGAACCTTGTTAATCAGAGTTATGATTTTTCTGGTCCATTATATAGCAATGTTGTTGGAGCTGGGCTATCGGACTTTGAAAAGGACAGATTAAAGTCACTGCTCAGACAGAGTGCAGTTACTCTTTCATCAGAAGTTGACGAGGTATGTCATGCATATTGGTCCTGATTGGTTGTTACTAAATGTTGGAACTGTCAGAATGGTATTAGTAAAACTTTTACAAGATTTAAAATTGGACATGCAAATCACATGGTATTAATCAACAAGCTTTTAATACATGCCATCGATGTAGAATTTAATTTATGTAGTTATTGAATGTGAATATTTGATTTCTAATAAAACAATTATAATATGCTTTCTTTATCCAAAATTTATGCCTGTGCTTAGGTGCTTCAGTTGGCACACGGCATACTTTGCTGTCTTGAGGAGTTAATTTATGGAATTTAGATGTGTTGCTGACTGTAAACAAAATCAGGTGGTGGGCCCTGTTTTCAATATGTACCATTTGCAATCTAGCCTAAGAAATAAAACACATTCCTTGAATCTTTCAACAATGACGACATCTGAAGATTCACTGCAAATTCCTTCTAAAAAGCAAAAGGTGTCCTCACCTCCTTCTTCAGCTAGGCCTGATCCTCATGCACAAAATAGTGATGTCAGTCCACAAAGCAGTATGAAGGTATACTTTTGCTCATGCATTTGATTTGATTTATCCCTTTCCTTGAAATCATAAAGTTTTGAATAAAATATTTTGTTAATATATATAGGGATTCCTCCTTTTTTTCTACTTATTGATTTCTGGAAAACCTAATGTTTTGTGATTGCTGTAATAGATATAAGAAAAGAATACAATTCAAATTGACTCTTTAGGCCCATTATATAAGCCATTCTACTTTTGGGTTGGGGGCAAGAGAGAGGGGAAGGAAAGAGAAGGATTTTATTAGATATTATATTTTGTTTAGCCAAGGAAATGGGAAGGCAAAAACAATCATATCCTTGTTTTGTTCACGAGGGGAGAAATTTTCTTAACATCTTAAGTTGCATTTTATGTAGGGATCCTTAAATAAGCCAATAAATTTAAAATATTTTGAAACTATTTTCTCTTCCTTTTGAACCCTGTTAACATTTGTGAGAACCAAAATGAGTGATAAATTTTGCCCTCCTCCAAGTCAAGTACAATATATATATAGAGATAGCTTATGAATTATGTAGAGATAGCTTATGAAAACAATTTATAGATCATACGAAAACTTTTTTACTTTATTTTATTTTTTACTATTGAAATAACTTTTACGTAAGTGCTTATCATGAAAACACTTATGTTATAAGCTGCAGATGATAAATAAAACTACTGGCAGAAGATACTTGAAAGTATGGTTGTGTTTATGCCTAAAATTGCAACATAATGAATTTCATTCTTCATCCCTTTTTCTTAGGAAAGGAATGATCTTCAGTTCCTGATGGAGAATGATAGTGTGGAGGTTGATGAGATGGTGAAAATATATTCCGATGAACTCTCTGGAACAGTAATTTTCTTATCTTTTTATCAAAATCTTTGTAATCCGTACATATGTTTTTGTCCTTTTAGGAATATTGAAGTTTTGTTTTACATGATATATATGTAAAAACACGAAATTGATCAGTGTTTAATGTTGTCTTTTAGCTAGGGTATATGGAACAAGAACTTGAGATACTTCTTGATGCAGTTATGTCAAAGTGCAGGTATGTTGTGATACTTTTATGTGGGTATAAGCTATAGAGGATGTGATCAGTTGTAAGGTTGTCTGCAAGGTCGAAACCTCCTAACTCAAGACATTTTCGATCCAGTGGTTGTTGAGTTGGAGACACATACTTCCAAGGCCTAAAAAGAGTTTCTAACATTCATGTCAATCATTTATCTTTCCAGTATATTATGTGATGTTGGATTTTGTTGCATTAGTTTAACATTCTGAGTTTCTGATACCTATATAAAGGCCAATGGCCCTTGTTGAGAAACAGCAGCTACAGAGATTAATTCAGAGGCTACCTGCAGAAAATCTTGACCGCGTAGTGGAGATAATTTGTCGAAGAAGGCCAGCAGAAGAACAAAGTTCTGACAAAATATTTGTTGATTTGGAAAAAGAGGTATCTGAACTTGATTTTCATAATTGGTCTAATTTGATATTCCCTCTGCTGCCCCATTTATAATTTGTTTTTGAAAAATCCATCTTATTTTATCAACAGTGTATCAATAATATAGGAACAAAATTTTTTCAGCATTAGAACACTTGATTAACATTATAAGTACTGAGTCTGTGCAGGATAATGCTACACTGTGGAGACTTTATTACTATGTTGAAGCTGTTGAGAAAGCCAAAAGTCTTTCTTGTAGTGAAGAGGTATAGTTTCATTGGAACTCATTAAATGCCCTAGAAAAATCCTCCACACCACAAGTCCTAGTTTCTTCTAGCTCATCAATAGATTTTCTTATGATGACTGCTTTGTCGGCCCTCCAAAATACGACACTTTATTGGAAACAGGCTTCCGGTAGTGTATTTTGATCTAGTGGATCAAAAATTTTTGTTCACTTCGCTGAAAGAGATGCAGATCCTAAAATTGATAACCTACACCGTTGGCAAAGATTACGCCACCATAGAAGTGTAAATTTTGAGAAATTATTCACCATGTATATCTCCGTAGATTGTCACAGGATCTACATTTTAAATCTTTGTATCTTGACAGTAAAACTTGAGTTCTTTTTTTTATAAAGTTGATAGTAAAGTGTATATTTTCTATAGGCTGTTTTTATCTTATGTAGTGGTGTTTAATATTACAATACTTAAAACCCTAAATGGACATATGATAGCATAATTTCAACATCATGAGTAAATAATATCATATCACATTTTACCTATGGTAGTATTTAACATCACCTGGTAGATCAAGAATTTCATTGTCAGGTCTCGACCTTTCTCTGTAAAGATTTGTTAGTGTAGAAATGAATCCATCATCAACATGAGTGACAAGGCGTGGATATGCATAAAACTCTTTATCTTGGTAAATGTTGAGATTGGTTCTACCTTGTGTTAGAACAAAACGTTTAATTTTGCCTGCTGATGATTGGTGATTGGTTTGGTTGTTTTAGTTTCTTATGAGTTTTGAGAAGAGGTGATTATAGTTTTGTTTGCATCGTTGGAGACTTGGAGTAGCTATTTGGGTGAGAAAAGGATATGAATGAATTAACTTGAATCAATCCAAACAAAAATTTAATTTTGTATATCATGTACATTCCTTGGGATAAGAAATCAATGGCTGTGAAATCATACAATAGTTTTTTGGCCTCAAATGAAATTAAAGAATCTCTTGGTTGAGTTGGTTCTCTCCTTATTTCTTGAAATTTCTTCACCAAATTTTATTTCAATTATCTTAATCTATACTTTTAGTCAGATTTTTTTTTTTGAAATGGAGGGCCAAGTCCCAAGACAAGGAAAAAACTACAACAAAAATTAATCTTAGAACACAGGATTTCATAGTATCAGAAGGAATATCTAATGAAGTCCGAGTAATCTTTTTAAAAGATCAAATCTTCTCAACTAGTAGCTCCATATTTTGTCAAAGCATCTGCACAATTATATGAATGATAACCTTAAACCTCTCCAATCCTTTCTAACATCCATTGAATATGATTCAACAAAAAGAAACTATCAATGCCGATATCATTATCGAATTTTAACAGTTCAACTACGGTGCTGGAGTCCACTTGAAGGTGAACTTTTGACACTCCCAATTCCATAGTATTCTTAAGGCCTTCATGAACTTCCCAAAGCTCCGCACTCATCACACTACAATTACCAAGATGTTTGGTAAATCCTCCGAATCATCATCTTTGTGGTGAATTTGCCAAACCAGTTTCATTATGCAAGCAATATTTATATACTGTAACTTCCTCAACCCCAACCCTTTTGTTGCTTTCAGAGTCATGTTATCCCAACTAACTGCATGATATTTCTTCTTATCCATGGTGTCTCCCCATATGAAGTTCCTTTGTATTCATTGGATCTCGTATAGACAAGCTTTCGACATGAGACCTGTCATCATGTGATAGCTTGGTACTGCTTCTAAAACACTTTTAGATAATGTAAACCTACCTTTTAAAGAGAGGTTATAAGCTTTCCAATTCAAAAGCTTGTTCGATATTTTCTCCAAGAGATATTTGTAGTCTTGTTTCTTTAGCCTCCACCCACTGAGTGGTATTTCGAGATACTTTCCCAAGTCATGCGTTTCACGATATCCAAAAGCATGCATGAGCTTGGTTCGCAGTGCTATCTGAATATTCTTTGAGAACATAATGCGCGTTTTTGTCTTTATTAAATTCTTGCCTCGACATGTCACCGAAAACTTTTAGAATCTTCTTGAGGATTTCTATATGCTCCTCTTTGGCTTCTCCTAGTAGAAGTAGATCGTCAGCAAAGTTTAGATGCAATATCCAAGGCCCATCCTTCCTCATGCGCAAAGCTTTTCACTTATTATTACTAACTACTTCCTGTCGCGGTGAAAGTCGGAGACCATAACTATAAAGTTAGTTAGGCTTCACAAATCTTAAGATATCACCACCGATCTTTATATTATCCAAGGGAAGGCGTAAAGAAAGAATAACCCAATAAATATGCAATGAAAAACAAAGTAATAAAGAGATCTAAGGTTCGGGGGTTGGTTATACTAAGAAAAGATATTAACACCATAAGTATCTATAGTATCCTATAACAATCTCTTGTTGAATTTGTGTTATGGTTAAAATTACTAATGGGATTGATTGGTGAGATGAGAAGATAAATGTTTTTTTTATTGTTTTTGTGTTTGGCAAGACACAGTCTTATGCCTACGTACCAATGAATGATCAAAACCTCGTAGTTCAGGGTATAAATTGAAAAGTGTTTATTAAGGTGAATTTTATTTAAGAAGCAACAAGTTATCATCCTAAGGATTATACTCATCTAAACCACCACAAACATGTGGAAGATGGATCTTTGCTTCACACTGAGAGAAGGGCTCTAACTTGGATATATAATTAACAAGTATACCACATAGCCCTCTCAAGTGGAAAAGAATCAACATCTTTCTCAACAATGTCATGGGGTAGGAGATTATCATCTCAACTAAGGGTGACTAATGTCTAGTCTATTTGAAAAATGTTTTAAATTGAAAATTCAAATTGGAAAAAGGTTTGATTTGAAGTTTGTGTCTTTTAGTCTTCGTGAAAGAGTTTGAATATGATTAAGATGTCTTGAAAAATTTGTTAAAAAAGAGTTTGGAAAGTCAATGAACTAAAGTCAAACCTTTTATTGAAAGTGGTTTTGAGTTTGAGAAAGGGGAAACCCTAATTGAAGTTCACCGATTATGAGTCTCGGTACTCAATGTTTGAAAAGACATGTTGTGCTCTAGCTTGGGTTGCCAAGCGCCTCCGCCAGTATATGTTGAATCGTACAACTTGGTTGATATCTAAAATGGGTCCAATCAAGTATATATTTGAAAAGTCGGCTTTAATTGGGAGGATTGCTCGTTGGCAAATGTTGTTGTCAGAATATGGTATCGAGTACCAGACTCAAAAAGCGATAAAAGGAAGTGTTTTGGATGATCTTTTGGCACACCAGCCAATTGATGACTATCAATCTATCAGGTTTGATTTTCCTAATGAGGATGTGATGTATCTGAAGGTTAAATATTGTGAGGAACTATTAATGAGTATGACAATGGTATTGAGGAAATTATTATTACTCCCCATGGTTCTCATATTCCTTTCACTGCAAGGTTATTGTTCACTTGCACAAATAATGCGGAAGAGTATGAAGCATGTATTATGGGATTGAAAGAAGCTATTGATTTAAGAATCAAGATTCTTGATGTTTATGGAGATTCAACCTTGGTGATTAATCAGATTAAAGGGGAGTGGAAGATAGGTCAACCTGATTTGATTCCTTATCACGATTATGCAAGAAGGTTGGTTACTTTCTTTAATAAGGTTGAGTTTCACTATATACCCAGAGTAGAGAATCGAATGGCAGATGCTTTAGCAACTTTATCCCCCATGATTTTGGTAAATCGGTGGAATGATGTGCCGAAAATGGATGTTATGAGTCTTGATAGACATGCTCATGTGTTTGCAGTTGAAGAGGTTGTTGATGATAAATCTTGGTATTATGATATTAAAGTTTTCTTCAGAATCAATAGTACCCACTTGGGGCATCCAAGAAAGATAAGAAAACTTTGAGAAGATTGGCTGGTAGTTTCTTCTTGAATGATGATCTGCTGTATAAAAGATATTATGACATGGTCTTGCTCAGATGCATGGACAAGCATGAAGAAGTCATGTTGATGAAAGAAATTCATGAAGGATCCTTTAGTACCCATGCCAATGGACATGCGATGGCTATGAAGATGTTAAGGGCAGGTTACTATTGGTTGACAATGGAATCTGACTATTGCAAATATGTGAAGAAGTGTCATAAATGCCAGAATTATGCTGACAAAATTCACGTGCCTCAAACTCCTATCAATGTTATTTGTTCTCTATGTCATTTCTCCATGTGGGGCAATGATATGATTAGAATGATTGAGCCTAAAGCGTCGAACGAACACAGTTTCATATTGGTGCCTATTGACTATTTTACCAAGTGAGTTGAAGCGGAATCATATGCCAATGTAACCAGGCAAGTAGTGGTCCGATTTATCAAGAACCAAATCATTTATCGGTATGGTATTCCGAGCAAGATTATCACTGATAATGGGTCGAATCTAAATAACAAGATGACGAAGGAATTATGCGATGAGTTTAAGATTGAACATCCTAATTCTTCTCCTTATAGACCTAAGATGAATGTGACTATTGAAGCTGCTAATAAGAACATTAAGAAGATCATTCAAAAGATGGTTGTCACGTACAAGGATTGGTATGAGATGCTCCCTTTTACTCTGCATGGGTATCGTACATCTGTCTGCACTTCAACAGCGGAAACCCCTTTCTCTCTTGTTTATGGTATGGAAGCAGTGCTCCCGGTAGAGGTTGAAATCCCTTCTATGAGAGTTTTGATGGAAGGTGAATTGTCTGAGGCTGAATGGTGTCAGAATATATATAACCAGTTGAATCTGATTAAGGAGAAAAGAATGGAGGCTTTGTGTCATGTCCAATTATATCAATATAGAATGAAGAAAGCATTTGACAAGAAGGTTCGACCTTGTGTGTTCAGAGAAGGCGACCTCGTCCTAAAAAAGATCTCGACTTTTGCCACTGATTCTAGGGGCAAGTGGACTCCTAATTATGAAGGCCCATATGTTGTTAAGAGAGCATTCTCTAAATGTGCATTCATTCTTACAACTATGGATGGTGAAGAGTTCACTCATCCTGTGA